CGCGGCCGGGGGGGCCCCCGTCTTCCGGGGCCGCCTCTTTGTCTCCTCCAGGAGGGAAGGCGTTCGGCTTGCTCAAAGCCCGGCAGGAGAGGAGGCTGGCCGAGATCAACCGGGTAAGCCCGCCGCCCAGCGCAGCGTCCGGTCGCCGCGCCGCGCCCCGCGGTGCCACCTCGGTCTGCGAGTCCGTGCCCGCCGAATAGGGGGCCTCCCCTCTCCCCTTCCCCCGGACTTCCCCCAGTTGCCTCCCTCCGCCCCCAGCCCTGTCTCTCAGCCTGGCAGGTCTGTCTCCACCTCTGCTCTGTCCTGGCGTCTCCGGTTGCAAGTTGTTACTCTCTGACTGGGGGGGTGGGGCCCCTGCCGGCCTGGGGCCAGTCGGGCTGCGGGCTCCCTGCTGGCCGAGCACCCTGGTGGGTGGGGACCAGCACAGGGATTTGGCGGGCAGGAAGGGACCCCCAGGCATGCTCTCGGCCCTGGACACAGGCAGGGTTGGCACGCGGTCTCCTGTCGCGCCCCTCCCCCAGGGCCAGGCACACGACTGCCTTCTCTCCTGCTTTAGGACAGGTTGCCTGAGGTCCTGGTGGCCCATAAAGTCCTTCCGGCCGGCGGTGGCCAGACACGATGGGAGCCACTGCAACTTTGCTTCATGCCCACTTGGATCCTAGGAGATAGGGGAGGTGTCACGCCCTGTCTGAACTGGTGAAGCAAAGCTAAAAGGCAGTTCATTCCCAGGGCTTTAGGGTCCCCAAGGCCGGGGCTGGGCTCTGGCCCCACTGCATATTGGCTGTGTGGTCTTCTGTGAGGGCCCCTCACCTCAGAGCTCAGCAAGAGAGGCATGTCTGTGCGTAGTCCATCATGGCTGGCATTGGAGTTCCTTCCGAGGACTGAGGCACCTTCCTACCTTACCTGGTGGCCGAGGCATGCCCGCTGAAACTGAGCTGGGCATCCCTGGGCTGGACACCCAGGGTCTGAATCCAGATCAGAGTCTCCAATGGGAAGCTGGCAGGTCCCAGAGCGGTGGTGGAGACCCGGAGGTGGGTCCAGGGCTAGGGCGTGGTCTAGCGTCTTCTCTCACTTGCAGTCCACTGCTCTGTTTTCTTGGACTGCCGAGAACTAGGCAGCCTGCCTGTTTCATTCCTCTGCTCCTGGGGGTCCCATGGAGAGCCTGGGGATCTCAGGGTCCCTGCAGTGAGCTCACCACCCCTGCCCCGCCTCTCGGGGCCATCATGAGCACAGCTGAAGGGTCGCCTGGATGTCAGGCTGGGCCTCTCAGGGTCCACTCTGCGCCAGCCCAGCCCCAGGCTTGGCCACTCGTGCCCTCTGGACTAGAGCCCAGGACCCTGACCTCATACCATTTGGCCTGGTGGGTCCTGAGCCAGCTGAATCCGCCCTTGGCCAGCAGGACCCTGAGCCAGAGACAGCTGGAAATGGGCGAGCTGACCCCATAGCTGAAGCCAGAAGAGCTGAGAACGCCTGGGGCTTTCCGTGGGGGGAGGCTACGGGTGTTTAAGGGAGTGGACTGGCTGACTTCAGAAAGGGGGGTGCTGCAGCTCTCAGGCGGTCTGGACAGGGCTGGGACTGGGGAAGGTGAGGAGAAAGGGGCTGTGGTCTCTCAGGACTCCGGCACCAGAGAGGGCGAGCAGCTGGCCCCAGGGTACACAGGAGCCAGGGGTGAGCCCCAGCCTGTGTCCCTTCCCTGTGGAGAACTGTTCTGAGACCCACCATGTGAGCCCAGGCTGTCGTCAGCTCCCGGGTCTGGGGTGGGGATGGCAGGATCAAACAGCCTGAGCTTCTCCCCAACACGGCAGGCTGAGGCGACCTACCACAGTTCGGGGCACACGATGGGCAGCGGGGCACCGTGACCTCGGGTAAATCGCTAGCCTCCTCTGAGCTCCCTCTGGAAAGGATGATGGTCTTCAGGGTGTTGGGTTTCCAGGGAGGTAGGCTGCGGGAGCACTGGGCTGGCCGCTGTCATGAGTGCTATCGTTTGGGGACTCGGGGGGCAGGAGTGGAAACTCCTTTAGGATCGTTCAGCCTGGCAGAGGCTTCGTCTTTCTGGCCTGTGACCCCCTCGAGTCCCTGCAACAAACAACAGAGCTCCGCAGTCCCTCTACCTGTTCTGGGTGAGCTGCTCTGCGTGGGGGCTGAGTCTGGCTCACCCATGGCCACTGCAGTGGGGAGATCTTGGGTTGGGTGGGTTCAAGAGTGAACTGTGTTGGCAGTGTGCTCCGTCTTCCTTTGGGGTGCAGCTTCACTGCCCCACCGGAGTGGGGATACCAAGGAGCTGCCCTGTGGCCCCTCCGAAGCAAGAAGCCAGGTGTGGGGACTGCATGGCTGCTGCTGTGCCCAGTCACGGGCCACCCAGTTACTTCTTCCCTGGTGCAGGCCAGTGTCCAGAGGGCGGCAGGGCTGCTCTGCCTACCCTGAGAGGTAGGTACTCGTGTTCCCATTTTACAGAACATGAGACCGAGCTGGGGCAAATCACCTGCGTCTGAGCAGTCAAGGGTTAAGCTCATTCTTGCAAGCCTTGAGCGTGGTGGGGCCTTTTCTGTGGGTGTCCGACCTGTGTGTGTGCATGCACGCGCATGTGTACGTATCAGCACTACTGGAGCGGGCTGGGCCAGCGAGCGCCTCCTACTCCCCCCACATAGCTGACATTCCCCGCGCCCCGATGGCATGGTAGGTGACCCTGGCCAGCCGGGCCTGGCCTTATATGGCAATGGGTGAGATTTCCTCCAGCTTCCCACAGGGACAGAGAGAAGCAACAGGGCTGGGTGGGCAGTTCCTCGGTGTGCCCGGGAGGCTGCAAGAGCAGCAGAGCCATCAGCAGCCAGGGTCTCTACCTCGGTAAAGCAGTGGCTCCGCTCTGTGCCCGGAGTGTCTCTCAACAGAGGTCTCTGTTAGACTGAGGCCCAGCGTGAACCCGCCAACATCCCCGTGTGACGGGATCGCCATGACTCCCATTTTAGAGATGAGGAAATGGAGGCTCAACCAGCTGAAGTGACCTGAGGTTACCCAGCCAGGAAGTGGCAGAACCTGGATTCAAACCAGGTCTGACCCTAGACACTGCCTGTGGCCCGCCCTGGCCTCTATCCACCAGGTGGCCTCAGCCTAGTGTTGACAGGCCTCTCTTGCTTATGTGGATAAGGATCTTTGGCCCCTGTCCTGATGTCCCAGTCCTCCTGGGTCGAGTGGAGGGCACTCAGTATTCCCTGCGCATGGAGGAGCCCACGTGCCAGCCTAATGGGAGGGCTGGGCAGCGTAGGCTACGTATCTCTGCCCAGGCGGTGTATATCCCCAGCCTCTCCCCCGGCAGGGGGTCCTCTGAGACCTGACCCAGGCCGCAACACAGGTGTGTCTCTTCTCCTGTGTAGCTGGCAGTGTCACTGCGTTCCTGCCCAGCTGAATGTGCCCAGCTGGCATGGCCAGATACCAGTCTCGCTTGCTCTTCCTTAATATATTATAAGGGAGATGGTGATTAAGTGACCACGTGAGCCTCTGAGGATTTAATGTCCCCTGCAGGTCTGGCCAGTCTTGACCTTGGTGTGGCCATGTCACAGGAAGCAGAAGGTGGAATTTCTTCAGCGGCTGTTTCATTCGTGCAGTTGGTAGGGTGTTTTTCTTCAACTGCCCGGTCTGCTGGCGAGGACGCAGTGTCCAGGCAGTGTCCCAGAGCTGCACGGGCAATGTGAGCTTGCTGTCCTGCAGGTGCACGTTACAGGCTCCTGCTGCTCGCTGGGCATCTGTGGCCTGGTCCTGGCCCTTTAAGAGCCTGTGGGCCGAGTCAGGTGCCACTGTCCCTGGGGTTCTTGCCCAGGGCTTCAACTAACAGCCCTTGGATGGCCTCCAAGATGATGATATCTGCCCACCCCACAACCTGCGGCAGCGAATTCAGAAAGCCACACCTGGAGGGCCAGGAGCAAGCGTTCATGAGGAGGTGCTAGAGGTACCAACCCAGAGAGAGTGATGTGGGCAGGAGCGGGTGGGCGGCAGAGACTGGAGGGCAGGACGCACAGATCTCTGGTGGTCTTGGAAATAGGCCCTCCTGGGGGTGAACGCTTAGATGGGGCTCAGCGGGGCTTCCGGGGGATTCTGATGCGCCTCAGAGGCTGTGGATGGCCCCGTGAGCAGCAGTGAGCAGACGCGGCTGTGGGCGCCCTCCCCGGCCCTGTGCTTGGTCTTGAGAGATGGCCAGTGGGCTGAAGCTCACCAGGAGGACCTCGTGACATAATGAGGGGCAGAGGCGTGGGTCTTCCTCTGGGTTGCCCCTGTGCACAGGTGTGGCTTGCATTGGCGTAACCCAGCGTGATAACAATCGCTAACACTTGGTAAGTGTGCCAGTGACGAGGCTCTCCTGCACAGCTAGCTCATCTCGGCCTTACAGCCGCCTAGCCAGGAGTGGCTATCATTAGGTTCCCCTTTACAGATGATGAAACTGCGGCCACGCATGGGAAAGTGGGCTAGCTGATAGCATGCTGATTAAGGCAGCTGGATCCCACATGGTCTACCGTGCGGTTTGAGAGTCCTGGACCCAGTGGCTTGAAAAGCACACCAGGTGTGTGCGTGTGCATGATTTCTCATGTGCTCTCTCTTCATCTGTCTGTCTCTCCAGCAAGCACATGTGCCCTACAGCAAAAACATTTCTAAAAAACAAGAAGAGAATGGTAAAGCATGTTTCCCAGGGCCACAGAGCTAAGGAGTGCCGGAGCTGGGATCAGAACCCAGGCAACCCGATTCAACCACCCACGTCCCACACACCGCCCTGCACATCCTGTGCTCAGGAAGTTTATGTCACAGGCATTTCCAGCCCTTGTGACTTCAGGCAAGACAGTCTCGTCCGGGCCTGTTTCCTCAGCTTGAACAGGACAAGCTGGAGGCTTTGAGGGTCCTCTCTGGGTTCCGCAGCTCTGCCACCTCCCCAGGTCTCACCTGAGAACACTCTGGCCCTCAGAGATGATAAGCGGCCCGTTGTCGCCCCCCAGTTCTTGTATTTCCTGGCTCGTGGTCAGGGACTGAGCAGGCCTCTGGGGCTCCAGACTTGCTCCTCTGCTTATCAACGTCTGCTTTCGGAACCCAGGGGCCCCTGTGCTCTCATGCCTGCTCCTCCACCCTGGCAGGTCCTGCAGCCTGAAGAACTAGTCCTCTGGGACAGTGATTGGTCTGGGAGAGGGAGGTGGTCTCTCGAGGGCTAGAGTGGTTCCTTGGCCTTTGAAACAAGCTCCTGTAGCCACCCAGGAAGAAAATGAATGCCCAGTATCGGCTTTCTGTGCCCAGACACCTGTGGCCAGGCCACCTTCTCCTTGTTCAGGGCAGGGAGGGGGCTGGGATGGTGAAGGGAGGTAGATCTTAAATTGTTAAAACTTCTCGTCTTGGGGCCAGCTGGTGCCATGGTAGTTAAGGTGGCTGAATCCCACATGGCCAAATGTGTAGTTCGAGTCCTGGACCTGGGTGGTTTGGGGGACATGCCTGGTATGTGTGTGCATGTTTGTCCGAAATCCTGAGAGGAGAGTAGAAGAGGAGGGATTGTAGCATGGCCATCCCCTCTGTGTGTGTGTGTGTGTGTGTGTGTGTGTGAATTCTCTCTCTAGCTAGCACCTGCACCCTATAACAACAACAACACTGAGCCAGCAAGTGGTGTAAAAGGTTAAGGTGCTGGCTCCCACATGGCTAAGTGGTTTGGGTCCCAGACCCAGTGGCTTGAAAATCATGCTGGGTATGTGTACATGTGTGCCAACAGTTCGGAGAGGAGAATAAAAGAGAAGGGATCGCAGTGTGGCCCTCCCCTCTGGGGGTGATTTCTCACTCCCCCTTGCCCTCCCCGGCTCTCTCAGCAAGCGTATGTGCCCTATAGCAAACTAAACAAGCAAACAAACAAAACCTCGTGATGGTGAGGAAGTTGAGTGGCCTGTCTGGCCCTTGGCTGTCCCATCCATCAAGTGGGGATACCTAGAATAGGGAGAAATCAATCATAACTGGTCTAAGTCGGGGGGGGGAGGCATCTAAGCCCCTTTACTAGTTGGTGGTGGTCTCTGGGGGTGATGGCTCACTGTGTCAATGTCAGGAAGCCGTAGGGAGAAGTAGCTAACACTTGCTTTGTGTTTGCGGAGCGCCAGGCTCTGTGAAGCACCTTACGGATATTTGCTTATATGCTGTAGTGCTCAGGGCAAGTCTACCGATCGAGCTGCGCTCCTTTTGTTATTTTAGAGAGAGATATTTGCTATAGGGCACGTGCGCTTGCCGGCGAGACAGAGACAGAGAGACAGAAAATGAGAAGTCACCCCCAGAGAGATGGCCATGCCGCATTCCCTTCTCCATTCTCCTCTCAGGGTCTTGGGCATGCACATATGCACACACACGCGCCCAGCATGATATTTAAGCCACCAGGTCCGAGACTCGAACCACAGTCGACTACATGGGAGTCCAGCAATGTAACCATTACATCATCTGCTGGTTCTTGGATCTAATCTTTTTTTGGGGGTGAGGGGGAGAGGTTTTTTGCTATAGGGCGCGTGCGCTCGCCAGACAGACAGAGAGAAACAGAGAGATAGAAAGTGAGAAATCACCCCCCAGGGGGAATGGCCACTCTGTAATCCCTTCTCCTCCATTCTCCTCTCAGGATCTTGGGCTCGCTTGCACACGCGCCAGGCGTGTTTTAAGCCCCTGGGTCCGGGACTCGAACCGCGGTCGACTACATGGGAGTCCAATGACATAGCCATTACGCTAACTGCTGGTCCCAGATCTAATCTTCTTATCCTTTCCACAGGTAAGGAAACTGAGGCACAAGTGATGTAATTTTCACACAGCTACTAAGTGGGTTCCAACCAGGCATTCTGGCTGGAGCCTGCTCCCTTTTCATTTCTTTTGCTGTTCTTCCAAACATCTGGGGTGACTTGTCTCTGTCTCCCCCAGGGCTCTTATGTGGGGCACCTGCCCAGTGGGCGTGGCTGTGTCCTGAGACAGGGCAGGGATATGTGGGAGGCTGCCTGAGGGGGAGGCCATGGCTATGCATGAGCAGGAACCAAGAATGCAAAGCTGGGAGGGGGAGGTCTACCGGCCCAGCCAATGGGACCTCCCCCTCCCCCGAGGGCATGGAGGCATGGCTATCCTAAGTCCAGGGAGGGCAGCCCACCCACGCATGAGCGGGTCAGCTACTTCCTCTGCCCTGGTCATTCTGTGGCTGAAGCATTTGCCAGTTTGGGCCCTTAGAGTAAGTGTGAGTTCAATCCGGAGTGCCCTCTAGTCTCTACACACAGTGGCCTTGAGGAGGGTGTGGCCATACTGGGCCCCATGGCCTGGGGTTGCCCTCTGACCAGCCACAGGAGGGCAGGGCCTGGAGTTCGAGACCAGCCTGCGCTTCCTGAGCTGTCTGTGGACTAGGGACACATGTTATTTAGCCTCTGGCCCTTCAGGTCCCACCTGTGAGGTCTGCCAAAGTGAGGGGCCACTTAGACCCCTCCCCCACCACCATTGGCGGTGGTGTCCCCTACTGTCACAGGGACTGAGTTAAAGTGGAGAGCCACAAGCCACAGAAGGTCTTACTCTGCCGCCCACTCCCGGCTACCTCGGTTGCTTGCAGTGCTAAGTGCTAAGATGGGACAGGGATATGGGGGAGCTCCTGGGAAGGGGGAGGCTGTATGCTGTGTATGAACAGGGAGGATGGTGCCCAAGGAGCGTGGCAGTAATACACCCACACCACGGCTAGGGAGGAGAGCTTTCGGAGAGAGAGAGAAGGAAAGTGAGAAGTCACCTCCTGAGGGAATGGCCACACCACAATCCCTTCTACTCCTCTTCTTGGGATTTTGGGCACCTACACACACACTGGGTGTGTTCTTCAAGCCTCTGGGTCCAGGACTCAGGTCACGTGGGATCCCGCCGCCTTAACCTCTGTGCCTCCTGCTGGCCCGTCACTCTAAATCCCTTGGGGAGTTCTGGCCACAGACTAGGACATGAGTGTGGACAGGCTTTGTGGCCGTCCAGTGGGAACTGGGAGCAGTTTGGAAATAGGCTGATGGATGTGGACCACACTGGTCGTCCTTTTAGACAGGGGCGTTCTGTCATTTTAGAATAAAGACCTTTCTCACTGTTCTCCCCTGACAGTGCGGGTACACTGTGGTCCCTCCAAACAGTGGACACCTAGAGGAGCGATGCCCATGTGCTCTCTGCTCCTAATGAGGAAAGTGAGGTGCAGAGGAGAGGGGCTCTGCAGAGGGGGGTGCAGGAGGGGAGCATGCCCTCTCCTCAGCTATCGTGCAGGTCCTGGGGCTGCCAGAAGGTTAACCTCGAGGCACGTGAGATGCCCAGTGTGGGGCCTGGCCTGGCAGGCACTCACTCACGGACAGCTTTGTTTTAGAGCTAGAGACCAGCTCAGACGAATGCCCGAACCTTCCCATCTTTAAGTGCTGGGGTTAAGGACACAGGCTCTAAGTGAGATGGAACTCTGGCTGCATGAGCCTCAGTTTCCTTATCTGTAAAGTGGGCATAATAATAGTAGCTCCCTCTTGGGGCTCCTGTGAGACTGGAAGAGGTTCCGTGGGTAAGTGCTTCACCCTGGAGGCTTTTTTTTTTTTTTTTAGAGGTTTTTGCTATAGGGCACGTGCACTCACCAGAAAGAGAGAGAGAGAGACAGAGAGATAGAAAACGAGAAATCACCCCCCAGGGGGGATGGCCACGCCACAATCCCTTCTCCATTCTCCTCTCGGGATCTTGGGCACGCACACACAAGCGCCTGGCATGAGTTTAAGCCACCGGGTCCGGGACGCGAACTGTGGTTGGCTCCGTGAGAGTCCAGCAACATAGCCATTATGCCAACTGCTGGCCCCTCACCCTGGAGGCTTTTGTTGGTGCCCGGCCCTCCCCACACCCCCACCCCAGCCCTCTGGCTCAGAAAGGCTTCATTCGCGTCTCCTCAAGCATCTGAGGGGAGGGTGGGCCAGGCTTTAAGGTTACAGGTGAGGAAGCAGGTGAGCGGGTGCCAAGAGCGTACAGTCATTTCTGGCTAGAGCAGAGACTGTAATCCGACCGCCCCTACCTCCTGAGCTCCTTCTCTACCGAGCACCGTTCACGCCCTCAGTGGGTTCTCATGCCCACTGAGGTCACCATACTGGTTATCCCTGTTGGGTAGATGAGGCAATGGAGGCACCAAGATTTGCTCAGGACCCTAAGGAGTTAGTGATGGGACTGGGCTGCTTGGCTTTGAGGCTCAGCTCCATGGGTCCCAGAGCCGGGGTACCCTGCAGGGGAGGCCCAGGTCTCCCCTCCAGCACTTCAGTTATTGGCTGAAGGGGCTTTGTCCTCTGGAGCCGGCCCTCAGGCCCCTCCCAAGCTGCAGAGCAAACTTCCCACCCCAGGGTGGCCTGTGCAGATGCACCTCCGAGGGGTGAAGAGAAGCTGGAGCATCCCAGGTCAAGCCTGGCCTCCCGGCAGGAGAGGAAACACTGTGCAGCGGGCGACTTCTGCCCTCTCCTTCGCTCTGTCCTCTCGACTCTAGGAGTTTCTCTGTGACCAGAAGTACAGTGATGAAGAGAACCTGCCAGAAAAGCTCGCTGCCTTCAAAGGTAAGCTGGGCTGGCTGCCCGCCGCCCAGAGCTGGTCTCAGCCCTTGCACGCAGCTGAGCCCCACGGGGCTGGGCTGCGGCCCTGTTGTACCCAGAATGCCCCTCTTCCTGGCAGCCTTCAAGATGGGGGTCTTCTGAGGGGTGGGGCAGGCCCCTCCACCTGCCTCCCTGCTGTGGCCCCTGGCCCCTCGCCTGCAGGCCCAGCCCAGCCCTGCCCCTCTCCCTGGCTTCCCTGCTGGTTCCCGGGGCCCCAGTGCACAATCAGCCCTTTGTGAGCGGCCCTGGCCTCTCCCCCTCCACCATGGAGCGTCCCCGGAGCCCCTGTGGAGAATGGACGTTTGTGTCGCCACGGTGGGGCAGGGGGCAGAGTTTCTGCCCATTGAATCCCAGCAGCACGGGATGAAAAGCAAACAGGGCCTGGGAGCCCACTCCCGGAGAGGGACGGCATAAAGGTCCCTCTGTTCAGTCCCTTGCGCCTGGTTTCCAGCCAGCAGCTCGAAAGCAGAGGAGCCATGCCCATAAGGAGTGGGCAGACCCGCCTGTCCTGCCCCGGGGATCCACTTGGGGCATGGGAGCCCCGGCCTTGCAGGAGGACACAGAATATCTTGGCGCCCCCCTCCCCCTAAGTGCTTGCAATGTGGCATCCTCGCTGCTCCAAGGCAGAGAAGCTGCCAAGTGCTCCTCCAACCACAGACAGCTCAGCTGGCCTTAGGCTGGGGACGGATGGCCAGCAAGCGCGGCGGCGGGTGCTGTGGGGGCCCAGCCTGTGTGAAGCATGTCTTGGTCTGTGTCACGAGCTCCCTGAATCACCCTGTGTCCAGCAAGGACATGGCATATGCTAATTACATGAAGAAACTCAGGCTCAGGAAGGTCGGTCGGTGACACTGAGGTCACACAGCTCACTTGTGGCAGAGCTAGGACTTGAACACAGGTCGATGTGGCTCCAAATGGGAAAAAGGTGCCCCTGTCCCAGTCCCAGATGCTTGGCAAAGGAGAGCAGTCCATCCCTTCTCTGGTACCAGTGAGGCCTGCTTCAGTGGCAGCTCTGGGAGCAGGGGCTGGGGCTGGGGTGTCTCGTCACTGTACTTGTCTTCATCCATACACGTGGGACTGGGTGCCTTGGGTGGCATTGCAGCTACAGAAAGTTAGCCTCCAAAGGAAGGGTTTGGAGGGGTGAGCACCTGCTGTGTGTGAGGCCCCCTCTGGGTGGGAGGGCCATGGCCAACTCACGAGGTGGCACCTGCCCTTAGCAGCCTGTGTTCGGCTGGGGCAGGACGGAGAACAGGAGATATGAAGGAAGCCAACGAGAGTAGATGCTTTGGTGAGAAACTGATCGAAATTCTCAAGGGGGCCCATTTAGAAAGTGGAGCCCTGAAGGCTGAGGAGGGCTCTGGGAGGACATTCCAGGCAGAGGGGTAGCTGCTGGAGGGGTTGGGCGAGAGGGACACGGAGAGGTGGGGTGCTTGCAGCCACCAGGGACCCTGGCTCTCCCACCTGGCTGCTCCATGGTACAGAACGGACGTGAGGATCCTGCTCTGCTGAGGCAAGGGTGACCTGGCCAAGGCCACGGTCCACGTGCCACAGCCTTCCACTGAAGGTGCTGAGCTCATTGCTTGCATTCCTCCCCTGCTGGTGGGGGCTTTCCTTGGTCAGTCAGGGAGTGTTAGCCTAGGCTGCAGGTGACGTCGGGGCTGTCTGCATAGCCCTGGAAGCTGTCTGTCCCTCTGTGGGCTAGAGCAGCCTGTGGCCTTTCGGTCGCTTCTGGGTCACAGAGAACTTAGCCTGTTGGTTCCCACACCAGTGTCTGCTCCCACCCCGGCTCCCAAACCCACTGAGTTGAATCTCCAGGGACGAGGGTCTCCTGTGGTCACTTTGCAGCCGATCCAGATGCAGCCAGCCACACTGGGGCACCCAGGAGGAAGCAAGGGTCAGAGCGGCCTGTTCGCTTATGCTGCTGCAGGGAGGGTGTGGTCATGAGGACACTTCCTCCAGACAGCAGCTGGCACGGCCGAGATGATGGGGACCATGTTGAGGCCCACCTGTAGGTGAGAAGACAGCGTGGGCACCCCAGGACCCCATTGGTTGCCATCAGGGAGTCTCTAGTCCCCGCAGGGAGAGATGCTGTGCACTAACACCAGCTTTGCTCTGTGGTTTCCAGAGAAGTACATGGAGTTTGACCTGAACAACGAAGGCGAGATCGGTGAGCGAGGCCTGGAGTGTTGGGGAGGAGGGTGCTGGGTGAGTGGGCGACGGAGGGACCAAACAGCCTAGCGACCCACCTGCCCTGGGGAGGGGCACAGGTCATCCCAGAGTGACGGACAGGCCCCAAAGCTTCCCGATGGCCAGCTTCTGCCCTAGCTGCTCCCCCACTGCCCCCTGCCCACACCACAGCCCCCCATGCCAGGTGCCACAGGACTCAGGGCTGGAGGCACTCTGGCCACTCAGGGACAGGCAGGCAGTTGACCCCTCAGTACGGGGGGCTGCTGTCCCCTTTGCCCACAGCTTGTCTGTCCTGAAGGTGACTGCACTATGCAGTGGGGGCACTGGGCTGCAAACCCTGCCCCATCACTGCATTCACGTCTGGTGGGAGACCGTAGTTTGATCTTTGCCAATGCCGCTCCAACAAGCTCAGCCATCCCCATTTTATAGACGAGGAAACTGAGGCTCAGAAAGGTGACAGACTGGGGGAGCTGGTGGCTAAGTAGCAGGCCCAGGGCCCAGCTGTGGCCTCCTCTGCTTCACCCTGCGCCTCCAGAGTTGCTGCCGTCGCCTGCGCGTCCATCCGAACTCTGTCCTCTCCCCTTTCTTCTCTCTTTTGAATATTTTGGTTAGCTTTTCTTTTGGAAAAAAACTGAGGATTATGAAATTAATCCATTTTCATCGTAAAAAATTGGGAAACAAAAACACAAAAATAAATACGAGAGGACTTCAAAAGTTTGTGGAAAGAATGAAAAAATGTATATATATTTAGGTTTTTGTCTTAGGGCATGTACACTGGCTGGGAGGAGAGAGAGAAAGACAGAGACAGAGACAGTGAGAGGGAAAGTGAGAAATCACTTCCCGGGGGGATGACCACACCACAATCCCTTCTCCATTCTCCTCCTGGGATCTTGGGTACGCATGCACATGGTCCCATCATGAATTTCAAGCCACCAGGTCTAGGACTCAAACCGTGGTCAGCCATGTGGGAGTCAATTGACATAACCGCTATGCCATCTGCTGGCCCCTGGAATTTATATTTTGGTGCAAAAAATTTTGAGATCCATACAGTTTTTTCATGATAGGCATTTTCCGTTACCTTTTTTTAAAAAAATTGTGTTGTCGAGAAAGTCGTGTCGTGTTTTTCTGTTTTCCTGTGCAAATTTGCATGATGACTTTCCTGACAACCCAGTGGCTCGCTGTAGGGCATACGCGCTGGCTGGAGAGAGCCCAAGAGGGGGGGAAGTGAGAAATCAGCCCCCAGGGGCGATGGCCACTCCGCAGTCCCTTCTCCTCCATTCTCCTCTTGGGATTTTGGGCACGCATGCACATGCATACACACATGCCCAGCGTGTTTTTCAGGCTGTGGGTTCAGGACTCGAACAGTGTAGTCGGCCATATGGGATCCAGCTGTCTTGAGCTCCTCACCACCTGCTGGCCCCTCCGTGAACTCTTGAAGACCCACCTATGCATCCCCTCCCACCTCCCAGAAACTGTCATAAACATTTTAGCTTATCTCCTTCTGCTTCTTGTTCTAATCACACATACTGGTGTTTTATGCCATTTCAGAACTTTTTTCCCTTAATTTAATGTATGATGAGTGTTTTGATTTATGATGGATTTTCTCCTTTTGCAATGTAATTGATGGCTGCATCACATTCCGTTCATGGACTGGGCACGAGTCTGCCCAGCCAATGCCTTAGCTCGACCATTTAGAAGACTTCCGATTTCGACTGTTATTACAATCCTGTGAAGCACGTCTGTGATGAGTCTCTGCCCACGTTGCTGGATGTTTCCTCAGAGTGACTCTTGGCAATGAGACATTGTGGCTAGGAGGCTTCTGAAGCATTTTGCCAAATAGCCTTTCAGAAAGGTCTTGCCGTTGGGTCTGGCTGGCGGTGGGTATGAGTGCTTTCGCTTGCTCCTGTAGAAGGTGCCCAGCTCTTTTGAAATGCCCTGGACACCCTGGCACCTTCGGGCCTGGCACCAAGCCAGCCCGCCCGCCCTGCCTCTCGGGTGAGTGCCCACGGCCCTCAAGCAGCCTCAGCTCCACCCCCACTGCCGCAACCTTTGCCGAGCCTTTGCTGATCCATTGTTCGATAAGGAACAATCCCAAGGAAACGACCTCAGAGCTTGGTTGGCCGGAGCCAGGAGGCCAGAGGCAGCAACCCCTTGGGTTTAGTGACTTTTTGGTGCCTCCCTTGTTTTTCTGGAATTTTGTTCTTTTGTTGGTTTTCCTGCTCTGCTTCCTCCTTTCAGCGGGGCCCTAGGACAGCAGGGTAGGACTGCCGTCATAGGCAGGTGTGGAGAAGTCCTCAGTCATCTGGCACCCAGGAGGGTGACTCAGTGCCCAGGGTCCAACCAGCTCCCTGACCCTACATTGCTGGGCACTGACTCCGAGGGGGAGGGAAATGGCCCATAGCGCCCCGTAGCCACAGGGGCCAGCAGAGATGGCAGTAGTGGTGTAAATAGTAGTTACTGAGCACCTGCTCTGCACTGGGGCCCCAAAGGAGCACGTCAGCGTTTTCTACCAATGAGGGAGCAGACGTTCAGAGAGGTTGAGTCGTTTGCCCCAGGTCCCACAGCCAGGGATCGTCCAACCCAAGTCTGTCTGCCTCTAAAAGCTGAGGTCCCTAACCACTAGTCTACACTGCCTCTGGGGAAAATAGGAAGGCTATGATGGGATCATCCTCCCTAGAGGAGCAACACCATTGACTGCAGACTCCAGGGAGGGGTCTTCCACCAGACTTCTGGGCATGGGGCAGGGTGGAGCTTTCCCACTTTCCTACTCAGCCCCTCCACCCGCCTGTTTCCACCGAACTGGTTTGATCCCCCCTCCCACAGACCTGATGTCTTTAAAGAGGATGATGGAGAAGCTTGGAGTCCCCAAGACCCACCTAGAGATGAAGAAGATGATCTCCGAGGTGACAGGTGGGGTCAGTGACACCATCTCCTACCGAGACTTTGTGAATATGATGCTGGGGAGACGGTCTGCTGTGCTCAAGCTGTGAGTACCGCCTCGTCACTGCTGGGCCCCTGAAAGCAGCTCCTCTGTAGAGAGGCCCCTGGCTGGGGGCGCCCCGCCACTTCCAGTCCGTAGGTCTCTCATCGCGTGACTGCGGGGCGCGGTATGAGTTTGTTCTGAGCCCTGTCTCCTGCCTGGCAAATGCTCAAGTTACACGCACCCCCAGGAGAAACGCGCTACCGCGGGGGTCGGGTGGAGTCAAGGCCACTGGCAACTGCGATGAGGATGGCCAGGGGGTTGTACTTCTGAGCCGTCTCCTCATTACAGAGGCAAATCGAACACGTGGGGTGGTTGTGAGCATAAAATGGGATTAACATAGGCTCTAGAGGGAGGTAGGATTCGAACCTTCATGCTATTGCTGTGACTGAACCCTGGACAGGTCACTTCAGGTCTGTGAGCCTGTGTCTCCATCTGAAATAGGGATGATGAGACATACCCTCCGGGAAGTGCTGTGCCGAGGGGACGCGTCCTCCGGGAAGTGCCGTGCTGAGAGCCAGTGAGATGACAAACCATAGTCCAGCCCGTGCCTAACAGACAGAGCCAAACTAGCGCATTGGAGCTATAGCCGCTGCAGAGCGTTAGGGAGGTTCTCTCGAGTCTCATCCTCATTTGTCAGAGATGAAAAAGACACGCACTTGGCTTTTATGAAACAAGACTCACATTTCAATCTTTCTTTCCTTTTTTTTTTTAAGTATGGAGGAAGCGTATACTTGTCTCATTTTACAAAGGAGTTCACGGGGCCCTGGAGGCTAAGCCTGTCTCAGGAGCCTGTGTTTCAACCCAGCCAGAGCCTGTGGTGCCCCCACCTGGAGGCAGAAGGCTGAGGGTCAGGTCAAGTGTCCTGCTGGTCACCTACCTGGGCCATGGCAGGGCTGGCCTTCAGATCCAGTGACACGATGTGTCAGTGAGTGGCAGACTGCTGGCAGGCTGGTGGTCCCGTGAGAGTGCGTCCAGCCCAGGGTGTAGGATCTGCCCCGAGGTCTTGGGAGGGAGCTCTCATTTGCACGGGACAAAATGCCTAAGAATGCATTTCTCAGGATGCATTCCCATGCAACGCGCACAACCGACTCTCCTGTCCTCCTCCCTCTAGACTACTCTCAGGGTGGTGGGGCATTTTTGAAGACCTGAAGTTTTTGTTGTTGTTTTTAATTTACAGAGAGTGCATACACTCACGAGAGAGCGAGCGAGAAAAGGAGAGAGTACCCCATGGGATGGTCCCTCTGCAGTTTCTTTCCACCTCTCCTTTCAGGGTTCTGGGCACACACTAATGCGCTGTGTTTCTCAAGCCCCCCGGGTCTGGGACTCCGACCGTGCAGTGGCCCTGTGGGATCCAACCGCCTTAACCACCGTGCCCCGGCTGGCCTGCAGGGGTTTCAAGCAGAGCCACAGCCCAGCCTTGCTCAGCCTGCTCTAGGAAGCACAGCTGGGAAGGCACGCAGCCCCCATATCAGGACCCTGGGGTCCCACCCTGGCTCTGCCCTGGGCTGCCCGTGGTGCTGAGGCTCACATCACCACTGTGCATCTCAGCTTCCTCCTCTGGAAAATGGGACTTGCAGCCCGTCCTCACAGCCGTCATCTCGGGCAGCTGCAAGGATCCCAGCAGAGAATAGATTTCAGGGCATGAAGTCGAGGACCCTGCAGACATGAAGGCTGGGATGACCCTCCCCTACATGAGGAAGGAGCCCTAATCCTGTTTATTTCCATGTCTCCATCTCCCGACTAGGGTCATGATGTTTGAAGGAAAAGCCAACGAGAGCAACCCCAAGCCAGCTGGCCCTCCTCCAGAGAGAGACATCGCTAGCCTGCCCTGAGGGCCCCACCTGGACTTCCCTGGCCCCGCCCCTGCTGCTCCCTCCTGATCTTGATGCCCCTCCCCATTCATCGTGATTCGTCTTATTTGTTGGTTAGGTTGTTGTAGGTTTGTTTATTTCATCAGCAGAATCGGTGATCTCTTTGTGAAGCACAAATTGTCTGCCTTAAAGGGGCTCAGGGTCAGGCAGTCCTGAGCCTCGGGTTCCCTTTCTCTCTTTCTCCTCACTACCCCCCATGCAGAAGGGTTGACATCAAACAAAAGCTGGAGGGATGGGGTCAAGAGAGGCTGGACACCTGTTCCCAATGCTTAGAACCAGCACTGTCCATCCTTCCAGGAATCCAAGCCCAGTTCAGTCCCGCTGGCCTGGCACTGGCGAGGGCCCCAGCCCACTTTCAGAAGATCCTGGAGTAGGGACGAGGCTGCGGAGCTTCATTAGTCTTTCCTTGGACGACTCTGGTCCAAGCACTCTGGGGTGGTCCAGGATGTGGCACTCAGTGCCCCACCATGCCAGCCAACCCCCTTAGTCCCTACCTCTCCTCATCCTCACAATGGGACACAAGGTGGGAAGGAAAGGAGCTGAGTAACTTGAACCCTTTAAGAGGGCACTGGAAGGAACCCCTGACCACACCATTATAGACGGCTCCGAGGAAGGGTGCAGCCCCACCGTCTTACTGAGGCTGAGAAAGGCTTTGGAGGTTGAGGTGAGGCCCAGGGCCTTGGGCTTCAGCTCAGTGCAGCCCTGCCTTTTAGGGAGGGTATGAGGGCACCGACTTGGGAGGATGAGAATACAATGCTCATGGCAAAAAGGCAGCATCGCTGTTGAGCCAAGAGCTGAGCAAAATAGGAGGTTGCCTTTCTGATCCCGGTCTGCTTGAAACCTGTGCTTACCTCGTCTGCCTTCCCACTCTCATGCCATTTGTCCATCCATTCATTCACTTGTTCACTCAACAGGTATTTATTGACCACCTACTATGAGCTTTAAGTCCTGCCTCTGTTGTGACACTTGCCGCATCCACTGTGTAACTCTCCTTTCCAATTCGCTCAAAATTCGAGCTTGGGATTGGACCGGCCTCACCTGTGTCCTCTCTCACATATTTCAGAGCCTTAATCCGCCCTGTAGGTGAGCTGGGCCAGTCCTGTCTTTCTCAGATGAGGGAACTGGTGGCCCACAGGGATTAAGTGCCTGCCCGAGGTCAGGAGTGAGTCTGGAGACGGGCATCTGGACTGGAGCCCGTGCTCAGGTCCTGGGCCCTCACTTCATCTCCGCCTTGGACTGCCTGGGTCAGTGATGGAAACAGGCAGGGACCATCTCCTGGGGCAACCCTGGGGGAAGGGTTCATGCGCATTGAAGAGCCTGTGCCGAGACTCACCATCCCCAGTGTCTCCAAGCCTGCATTAGGGTCCGGGCCAGGACCAGGCTTGCCCCTGCAGTTCTACCTTCCCTATTGCTTCTTGGCCAAGCTTCCAAGAGCCACTTCTCAGCACTCAGGCTGGAAGATGTCAACCTGGGCCCCATCTTGGCTGAACTGGGACCTCAGTCTTAATCCTGCCTAGGCCTGGGAGTCCCTTACTCTGCCTGCTTGGACTTTGACACGCTATTCACTGAACATATTTATTATGCATCTGCTGTAAGCCTAGAGTTAAGAACCCAGCAGTGAAATGGACATTCTCATGGAATTTAGAGTCTAGTGAGGAAATCAATGACAACGAGATGAATGTCAGGAAAGGGTGTTAGGTGATTGCCCTGCAGTCCTGGGGGCCCTGCCTGTGCCAGAGTCTTGAAGCCTTTGAGAAACTTTCGGTGGAAAGGACTGGGGCCTGTTGAAGGCTGGAGCCAGCGTGAGCCCTGATCAAGGCTCTACAACAGCTTGAGGGAGTGAAGCAACTCAGGCAGCAGGAAATAACCAGGCTGGGTTAATGTGGTCTCAACCAGCTCAGCAGCAAGATTATTTGGCCATGACTGGTTGATCTTCAGCCTAAAGAACTGTTTCAAGTACATGGGTCTAGTTGAAGTTTAAACCCCAGCAAAACATTCCTCCCTGTCAATGTAAAATCTTGCTCCTTTGTCTCCCTCCCATCTCCAGGACCCTTAGGTAATTGGCAGTCATCTGTCCCCACTCACTGCTCTGGGACAGGCTGAGACCTCTGAGGATAAGACCTTCCTTCACTAGTCAACACACGTGCTTGTCCCTCGCTTGGGGAGCACAGACCCGGCCAGGCTTATTTCAGTGGGTTCCAGTTTACTAGACTGCAGGAAGCTTCCTTCAGGGAGAGCAAGGAGGTGTGTCCCCAGCTTCTGGGAAAGGCAAGAAAGTGGGTTCTCACTGGATCAGGGTGCCTGGGAAACCCCATTTTTCACTTCACCATTTCTTATAACTCAACCCTTGAGGGAAGAGGGTCCTAAGAGTGGTCCTTGAAAAGGGCAGGGGGTCTGTATGTATTTCAGGTTGTGGCCATTGGCTCTAGGGCTTATTTCTCTTTCCTAAAGACTTAGCTTCTTGGGACTTCCACTGTCTTCTTTCTGAAAGACCAAATCTAACTAATGTAACCAGCAATGTGGGGACTGCCAAGTATGGCTTTGTCCTTGTGACTCAAAGGAGTTTGTCGGGCAAATTTAGGTGGATGAAGTATGTGTGTGTGCGTGTGTGAGAGTGTGTGTGGGGTGGGATAGCATTCCTACAGATTGAAAATAAACCAGACAAACTTACCAATGTCTCAACTGGTGTATTTTGGGGATGGTTTGGGCTCAACAAGTTAAGAGCTGGCAAGGACCAGCAGCTGGCATAACAGCTATGTTGCTGGACTCCCATGCATTCGACTGTGGTTCAAGACCTGGACCCAGTGGCTTAAACTCACGGCAGGCGCATGTGCATGCGTGCACAAGATCCCGAGAGGAGAATGGAGGAGAAGGGATTGCTGCATAGTGGGTGATTTCTCACTTTCTGTCTCTGTTTCTGGCAAGCGCACGCGCCCTATAGCAAAAACCTTTCAAAAAAAAAAAAAAAAAGTCTGCCCTCAACTTAAAATTCCACTACAGAAATTTCTTCTATGCAAGACTGATACCATCATTGTATCTGGAAAATATTAATTCTTTTTAAAATTTAAGGATAATTTAATTTAAACAATTTTTTATTAATTTATTTTACATTCTTTCACTGAACATCACAACATACAAAATGCTATTTCCCAACCAGAATGTACTGTAAAGTGGCTTAATCATACATGTTATCGTCAACAAATAATTTTCCATTTATTGTTTCTTGTATATATATATTTTCCCCCTATTTCTCACCCTTTGTCACTTCCTTCCCTCCTCCCACACCATCTCTGGTATCTGCAGTTGCTTTCCATTCCTTTTTTATTTTTTCCCACATTTCATTGATTCACAAAATGTCTTAATTAATCTAAATACTTTCGATAGCAAGTTCAGCTGATATATACATATCTGTGAACACATGTTGACTTTAGGCATGAAACTCGGTGGGTAGAATGAATGTAGTATAAAGAAGCACCTCGCTGAGGCTATATAGCTCACTGTGGTCATCAAATAGGTATTAAATATTTTCTTTTAATTTCAAGAAAGCAGTTTTAGCTTTAATCAATCAAAATTTAAAAATGTTAAGAGAACTTTACTTAAGACCTAAAGCCAGGAAACAGGTTAGGATTCTGTTTGAATAGAAAAATGTGGGATGCGTCATGAATTTGGGTGTCATCCTTGTGCAGGGGCCATGCTAATCTTCTCTGTATCATTCCAGTTTTAGTATATGTGCCACAAAGAGAGCACAATGGAATTTTTTTTAATTAAAAAATTTCTAATCCTGCTTGTACCAGTTCCCACTGAGAGCCCCTGAGGAATTTTCTCTGCGCTTCCATCAACTCATCAATTAGATGTTAATAACAACCCCTAGGGGGTCAGCAGGTGCCGCAGTGGTTAAGGCACTGGATTTCCCGGACCCAGAGGCTTGAAACGCATCCTGGGCGCATGTGCGGAGGTGCCAAACCACAGAGAATGGAGAAGGAATAGCCGGGTCGCCATCCCCCGGGGGGAGGGTGGTTTCTCACTTTCTCTCCATTTCTCTGTCTCTGGCAAGACTACGCGCCTTATAGCAAAAATCTCTCTCTTAAAAAATAAACAAAAACCCTAGGCGAGTAGGACGTCTTGAGGGGTAAATGAGATTATTGCGTCTAAAGTGTGCGCAGAAACTCGTGCTCTGGAAGTGTTAGCATGAGCGTGAACAATGCTGGTGCGTAGCTCACTTTAAGCTGCCCTCTCAGCTCCGTGCTAAACACAATCTGCGCTAAACACACTTTTGAACCTTTCTTCCTTTCTCCCGTAAAGCACCAAAACCTCTCTCAAAGTTGCTCCCTGGAAATATACGTCAAGCTCCTAATTAACTTCTCAGAATCAGAAGGTACTAACAGCCACCTCCACCTGTGGTTCCTGCGAGTTCCTTCAGTTAATTAGACCAGGGAACGAGTCTGAAACATCAACACGTGCGGCCGAATGAGACAAGACTCTGGCCCGCGCCGGAGCAGAAGCGGAGGCGGGCCCAGGAAGCTCCAGGGGCAGGCGTACGGGCACAGGCCACGCCCCAGGCCTGGCCCCAGCCGGCCAATGGGGGGCAGCGGCGGGGCGAGCGCGGGATTTTAGAAGGTCTATCGACCTCTCTCGGCCACACCGCGGACGGGGGGCTCGTGACGTCACCAAAGCGCGCCGGAAACACAAAAGCTGTGCGCCACTGGCGCTGAGGGAAGGAAGTTGGCTTCGGAGCGGCCTAGGCGGTAAGGGCAAGGCCGCGCGGGCGGCAGCGTGGGCTGCTTGGACGAACGAAGGGCGGCACGATGGGAGACGAGATGGATGCCATGATCCCGGAGCGGGAGATGAAGGTCAGAGACTGAACGGGCCTGTCCCGCACCGCGCTCTCATCTTTTCACCAGAACCCGCCGCCGGCTCGGCCCCACCGGATGCAGATTCCCAGCCCCTTGTTTGTCTTGTGCTCGGCTCTTGAGTGACAGTAGCTACTTTAATGTGATGGTCTCAGTAGTGGTAATAACTACCGTTTATTTAGTGTTAACTGTGTGCCAGGCACTGGTGGTAATCACAACAACCTCACGACATAATCGTTAATATAGAGGAGTAAATCGAGGCTCTTAATTTATCCAGTCACATTTGACAAGGGGGCTGAAAACCGGGTTCATTTAAGACCCTTTCTCCTTCATTCTAACTGTAGGACTTCTATAAGGTGGGCAAGGTTTGCCTAACAACCGCGCAAGGTCGTCACCATATATACCTTTAGTTAATTAGATAAGGAAGTCTATTTCGGTGCCGGAAGTCAGCCTCAGGAAATTGAAGGGAAGGCCAGTGGTTCAAAGGATGGTAACCTGGGAGCTCCCCGGGGACAATTCCAGGATGATGTGTTTAGTAGTCCTTAATATGTATTCAGGCAGAATAAGGGAACAGAGGATGAGCTATATTCATTTTGGACACAGTGCAAAGAGAGTAAGTTGCAGGACGATTTCTAATTTTGGCTTGTGTGAACAATAAATACTGAAATGCTTTTAAATGGTAGTAACCCATACCATATGTATAGTAGAGTAGTGATTCTCTCTACCTTGAGAATCACTTCCTGTGGTGGGCCATTTGTGGGAATTTATCATCCCTTTGGTATGTAGGGGTAGAAAGAAAAAAGAACTTAGAACCTCATATTTAGATGAGGGGCTCCCTGCACTACTGACCAGGGGAAGGGTAGCCCTCCTATGCCTCTGCATCCCACTGGTTCTATATACCCATGTGACCAAGACCCAGATAGGATATTTGTATTATCAAGATGAGAATTACACACACACACACACACACACACACACACAATTTTATTCTACTCCTGTATGAAACCATACTATAGTCTCACTTGGAACAAGTGAATTTTTACTCTGTAGTCAGTTGTAATTAAGAGTATTTCAGTTGATGGTTTAGCAAATAGGTCTGAAACATTGAATCCAAGGAGCCTGTGGGTATGTTGAATATCCCTTATGAAACACACCATAAGATTCTGTTTACAAAAATAAAGGACAAGAAAACCTATCTTTGGCATAAGTATAGTATGGCTTAACATAGTGATGGATAAACTTACAGAAACCTTTGTACTAAGGTGGTACACACTGAAAATTGTCTGCTTTTTTAAAAAAATCATGTCAGAAGCCAAGAGACAGAAAAGTTCTTTAAATATTTTTTTAAAATAATTATTTTATTTAACTTTATTTATTTATTTTAATTTGGCCAGAGAGGGACAGAGCGAGAGAGGGAAAGTGAGAAAGCAAACTGCTAGGTCTGGGACTCAAAACTGTGGTCAGCCATGTGGGAGTCCAGTACCCTTAACTACCACGCCACCTGCCAGCCCCAAATACTCTTAACAGTTTTTTTTTTTTTTTTTGGAGAGGTTTTTGCTATAGGGTGCATGCGCTCACCAGAAAGAGACAGAGAGACAGAAAATGAAAAATTACCCCCCAGGGCATGGCCACACCACAGTCCGTTCTCCTCCATTCTCCTCTCAGGATCTTGGGCATGCACGCACATGCCCTGGTGTGAGTTTAAGCCACCGGGTCCGGGACTCAGACTGCAGTTGACTACGTTGGTAGTCCAGCGATATAGCCATTATGCCAACTGCTGGTCCCTCTTAACAGCTTTTTTTTTTTTTAAATCAAAGCATACTATAGTTGTTAAGACATATTAAGACAAGTTATCTTAATAGGACATTTAGTGGCTGAAGTAATGGAGTATCACTGTTTCTTCAATATGAAGCTGTCCTTCTGAAAAAGTAAGATATAACTGGGAAGTATTTTTGGATCTCTCACATATCCACTTACTGACTTGAAAGAGGAAAACAACAAAACACAGCAGCAGAACCAAATAAATCATTTTCTCTAAAATCCCAGGCATTGTGGGCTCCTTTTCTCCTGAGTTTATTTATTTGCTTATTTTTATCTGCCAGTGGTAGTTTGTTTCCTTTGATAGACTATATGGCAGTCCCACAGTTGGTGCTCCCTTCAACCAGCTGGATCCCTTTCAGATTCAGAGTTTTGCATCATCTTAGCATTTTCTTTATGTTTGTATATCCACTTGTGACAAGTCACTGATAGTAAACCGAAAGATAATATTACTTGGTTAGTACATGTTAGTGTCACACTGACTGAATTTAAAACTTTGAATGATGTATACAGACTTTTAATTCATTTTAATATAAATATTTGTTCCTGTTTTCTAAGTTCCTTATAAAATAAAATTAATTCAATCTTAAAAAAAAAAAAATCTTGCCAGAGGATGCATATTGCATATGCTTTCCAGAGAGAGAAAGAGAAAGAAAGAAAGAAAGAAAGAAAGAAAGAAAGAAAGCAAGCAAGCAAGCAAGCATTTATCATGGGGTGTGGTCACACCACAGTCCCTTCTCTATTTCTCCCTCCTTTTGGCATTTTGGACATGCATGCACACGTGTCTGGCATGTTTCTCAAGCCAGTGGGTCCAGGAATTGGACTGTGTAGTTGGCCACACGGGATCCAGCTGCCTTAACCACCAGGCCATGGGCCTTTCAATTATCTTTAAAAACGTGGAGATAAATTCATGGAAGACTGTAAGTCAAATTAGGTGATGAGGTCAGGAGAGGCTCCCAGGCCAATTGTATCTAAAGTAGGTACTGAGGGACATGAAAGAAATGGAAAGAAATGAAACTAGAAGTAGGTGAGACTGCATTTGTTTTCAGTGAATTGTTCCTCGAGCCTTGCCTGGTCTTGGTATCCTCTGTGAAGGGTTTTGGGCTTATGTTTCAGATGGCCTCAGTGGAGCTAGGTTTTGCTTTAAGGTCTGAGTGCCAGGAGATTGACCATATCTTTCTGTGATGGAATTTTGTTTAGGGTTCAATGCAGGTTAGCCAGTTTAGCCATTTTTCTGTATTTGCTATTTCCATATATAGTTGTTGAGTCCTGCACTTAAAAGAACTTATAGTGAGCCTGGGTGCAGCTTTCAGTGTTTGATAACAGTTTATTGAACACTGAGGTCATGAGACAATACATACTATAGAATGGCACAAGATTATAACTACTCACGTGTAACTTGTGTGGTAACTCAGACCATAAATACACCAGGAATTCAAAAAAGGAAAAGATCAATGTGAGCTGGATTAGTCAAGGAAGGCTTTGTGAAGATTTGTTTTTACTTCATTCAACAAATACTAGTGAGCACTGTACCAAACTCCATGAAAAGCACAGGAAGTTTAAAGACAACTTTAAACGTTGGTCTCAGGCAATATATGTATTTGTTTTGCTGTTAATTGGGTCTGTTGGAATAGAACAATAGGTGTGATATAATTTGCTGTCTTCCCTGAATTGATCTTGTTTTGCTCCTTTTGCAACAGGATTTCCAGTTTAGGGCATTGAAGAAAGTGAGAATCTTTGATTCCCCTGAGGAGTTGCCCAAAGAACGCTCGAGTCTGCTTGCCATCTCCAACAAGTATGGTCTCGTCTTTGCTGGTGGAGCCAATGGGTTGCAGATTTTTTCAACCAAAAATCTTCTTATTCAAAACAAACCTGGAGACGATCCCAATAAAATAGGTACGTCCCTTGATTCATGTTACGTAGAAGAGACAAGGCTGTGGTGACTGCTGATGTGTTTCCTTCCCAAGATATCATTCTGATATTAAAATTAAAATTGCCATTGGTGGGGCCAGCAGGTGACATGATGGTTAAAAAGCTTGGATTCCCACCTGACTGACCACAGTTCAAGTCCCACACCCAGCAGCTTGAAAATCACGCCTGGCGTGTGTCCATGTGTGCCCAAAATCCCGAGAGGAGAATGGTAGAGAAAGGATTGCGGCCATCCCTCCAGGGCGTGATTTTTTACTCTCTCTCTCTATCTTAGGGGGGCACCCGCCCTATGGCAAAAACCTTAAAACAAAACAAAAAACTGCTGTTGGTATTAAGATTGACCCATATGAAAAATAAGTGCAAGGTGGATGCTGGAAGCCTTTGTAGGTTTTCTCTTTGGTCCTTTGTACTGGCTTTGTATTGGGTTGTGGGGGAAGTCATGAAGTATTTTTTTCTGTTTTTCTATGCAGAAATGCATCATGACTTTTCCGACTACCCACTATTTTTGTTTTCAATGAATCGTTCCTCTGAACTCAGAGGAAAGAAGAACTTAGCATTATGCTGTGCTCATTTGCGTTTGGGCTGTGGCTCTGTAGAAGGGGTTTTGTTGCTTAGGTTATAGTTAGTACAGCAGTATCTTCCAAACACGTGGGGATGTGTACCCTTTGGAGCATTGTTCAATGTGAGCAGTAGCCAGTGTTCTTCAGGTCATATGAAGAATCCCTAGGATCCTTACTACATTGTTATATACCTATAGAAAGTTAAGGTGTACTTACCTACGTATCAGTGCCTATGTTTTTGTAGATAAAATAATCGTTTCAGGTTGACCTGGGTGAAGGAGTTGTGTTTCCATGCCAAAACATGCTGTTTTCTGCTTTGTCTTTTTGTTGTGTCTTCATAGTTGATAAAGTCCAAAGCTTGCTAGTGCCTATGAAATTCCCCATACATCATCTGGCCCTGAGCTGTGACAACCTCACACTCTCTGTGTGTATGATGTCTAGTGAATACGGTTCCATCATTGCTTTTTTTGATGTCCGCACCTTCTCAAATGAGGTAAGCTACTGATGAACTGAGGTCAGCAGTTGGTGTACACTCTCACATGGCTGACCATGGTTCTAGTTCTGAACTCAGTGTGTACATGGATGCTCAAATTCCTGAGAAGAGAATGGAGAAGGGGCTGTGGAGTGCCATTCCCCCAGAAGTGATTTTTCATGTTCCCTCTGTCTCTCTCTGGTAAATACACATGCCCAATGGCAAAAAGAAAAACCTAAACAAACAAACCAACATTTAGGCCTTTGATGTATTGTAATGTCAGCATGGGAACTGCCTCGGTCTGTTAAGTTGTTAACAAACACCTGAGTTTGAGTGATTTATAAAGGAGGTAGAGGTTTATTTACAAACACATGATGCTGGTGGCTGGAAATTCTGAAGTCTGAGGATTACAGCATGGCTGACAGAAGTACAGAGGATGGCGGGTGCGTGCAGAGAGAGTGCTTCTGGCAGCTCTCTTAGAACAGTCTGCTCTTATGAGAACTAATCCCTTCCCACCGAGCTAGAACTCACTGCTGTTTCATCAGACCGTGGCCTCCGTAGTGCAGTCTCCACGATCTAGTCACTGCTCCTTGGCCTCACCATCGCCCATCAAATTCCAAACATATGAAACTTTGGGATAAACCATTATCCAAATCTTAACGGAATCCCAAAGAGATTTCCTGGTATCAAATTACAACTTGGGGGACCAGCAGATGGCGTAATGGTTACATCACTGGACTCCCATGTATTCAACCACAGTTCGAGTCCTGGACCTGGTGGCTTAAATTCACACTGTATGCGTATACATGTATGTCCCAAATCCAGAGAAGAGAAGGGATGGCGGCATGGCCATCCCCCGGGGGGAGATTTCTCACTTTCTTTCTCTCTGGTGAGCATATGTGCCCTATAGCAAAAATACTGAAAAAATATTATAACTTGGAACCTTCTTAGGTTAACCCTTGAAATCTGAGTCTTAAAGTCCTTAATTATAAAACTTTAGGTCTTTGAGGTAGGAATACAGTAAGTTATTTCAGAACACTATCCATCCAAGGTGTTATTTCTCATTTATATGAGAGCCAGCCTCCAGGGAGGCTTAGGTGATTTGTTCAAGTCTAAGAGCTGATGATGTCCGAAGTCCTATGTGTTGGGTTCATGGCGCGTTCATGCAGTGCTTTCCATTCCAAGCACCTTAAGAGTGGTGATAGTCAGTACTGTGCGTATTTGCGCTGGCTGTGCCCCAGAGCCTGTGCCTTGTGCCGGATGCACCCGTATTCCTTCATGCTTGCCACAGCCTCCCCGAGCAGCTGTTGTTGTCTTCACTTTATTAATGAAGAAACAGGCACAAGGCTTTAATAACCGTCCAAGCTCCTAGCACTGTTAAGCAGAGCCAAGATCTTAACCTGGTGTCTGCTGTTTATTGATTATTTTGCATTTGCTATGTTCCTCTGAGCATGTTAGAATCATTGACTGCCAGTTTCAAAGTTGTATTGGGAACCAGCAGTTAGCATAATGACTATGTTGCTGGACTCCCACGTAGTCTACCGCAGTTCACATCCCGGACCCGGTGGCTTAAAACTCAAGCTGGGCGCGTGTGCGTGCGTGCCCAAGATCCTGAAAGGAGAATGGAGGAGAAGGGATTGCGGCATGATCATCCCCCCGGGGGGTGATTTCTCACTTTCTGTCTCTAATGTCTCTCTCTGTCTGTCAGGCGAGTGCACACTCCCTGTAGCGAAAATCTCTCCAAAGAAAAAAGTTGTATTGAAATTGTAACATAGATTATGTGTAGAACTAAATCTTTTTTTTTTTTATGGCTATGGAGAAAAACGAACTGTGATTTGAGGAAATGCATATATTTAATAATTTCCTTTGAATTTCTCACGTCTGTGTATTTATTGATTTGTCTTGCTTTTGTGCATTTGTTTTTAAAAGTCTAAGCCGCAGAAACGCCCATTTGCCTATCATAAGCTTTTGAAAGATGCTGGAGGCATGGTGATTGATATGAAGTGGAACCCCACCGTACCCTCCATGGTGGCAGTTTGTCTGGCTGATGGCAGTATCGCTGTCCTACAAGTCACAGACATGGTGAAAGTGTGTGCAACTCTCCCTTCCACAGTTGCAGTAACGTCTGGTGAGTAATAAAGGCTTCCATGGTGATCTGTTCAAATACTAATTTCTGGAAGTAAAAATGGGTGGTTTTTGGAGAAGTTTGGGGAAGGATGGGAAGGGAGAGTGTTCTTTATTTCCATAGTTAAGTCCTTGACTCCTAACAGCATAAACGATTTAACCTGAGGGTGCTTGGGTTTTCTAGAGATAAAAATACTTTGGTACAGCCAGTTTAGAACTGTGTTTTTGAAAATAATTGTTTCTGAATCTAAAAGGGTTGTACTTTGAAAAAGTTTTGTGTATCTTTGGGGGAAAAGCATTAGGAACTATCAAGTAGCTGAAAATGATTTCTTGACACTTGAAAACCTCTTATTCTCCTTTTCTTATCTAAAGATACAGTTTGCTGTACTTAGCAGCTTCCAGGGCAGCATTTTACTGAAAAAGCATTAACTTTCAATTCAATGCCCAGTGATAAATCCTAATTGGTTTGTATCATTAACATGATTTTATTTTTTTTACTTTGCCGATGGGGATGATCTTACGTCTTTGTAGACTGACAGAGGCAAGTTTTATAGCTGTCATGTGATAGATCTCAGTGGTTGCCCCATTTTCTCTCCTTTAGTGTGTTGGAGCCCCAAAGGGAAGCAGCTTGCAGTGGGAAAACAGAACGGAACTGTGGTGCAGTATCTTCCTGTAAGTTTTTCCTTGGACTTTGGAACTTTTCCTACTAAAGTTACCAGTTATTGTGGAAGTGGTTCAGGAGTATCTTGGTTCTATTAAAAAGCAGTATATGGGGGCCGCAGGTGGCGTGGTGGTTAAGGGTGCTGGACTCCCATGTGGCTCACCACAGTTCAAGTCCTGGACCTGTGGCTGGCTTTCTTGCTTTCCTTCTCTCTCACTCTGTCTTTCTCTGGTCAAATTAAAATAAATAAATAAAAATAAAGTTAAATATTTTTTTTTTTTTTTGGAGAGGTTTTTGCTATAGGGTGCATGCACTCGTCAGAAAGACAGAAACAGAAAGCAAGAAATCACCTCCCGGAGGGGATAGTCATACTGCAGTCCCTTTTCCTCCATTCTCCTCTCAGGATCTTGGACGCACATGCACGCGAGCACACACACACACACATGCCTGGCAGGAGTTTATGTCCCCCGGTCTGGGACTTGAACTGCAGTTGACTACATGGGAGTCCAGCGAAATAGCCATTATGCCATCTGTCCCTAAATAAAATAATTCTTTTTTTAAAAAAAGGCAATATATGGGACCAGCAGGTGGCATGTTGGTTAAGGCACTGGACACTCTCACATGGACAACCACGGTTTGAGTCCCGGATCTGGTGGCCTGCTTTTCCTCTT